GTGTGGACACATGCTACTGTGTGTGTGTGTGTGGACACATGCTACTGTGTGTGTGTGTGGACACATGCTACTGTATGTGTGTGTGTGTGGACACATGCTACTGTATGTGTGTGGACACATGCTACTGTATGTGTGTGGACACATGCTACTGTGTGTGTGTGGAGACACATGCTACTGTGTGTGTGTGTGGACACATGCTACTGTGTGTGTGTGTGGACACATGCTACTGTGTGTGTGGACACATGCTACTGTGTGTGTGTGGACACATGCTACTGTGTGTGTGTGGAGACACATGCTACTGTATGTGTGTGGAGACACATGCTACTGTGTGTGTGTGGACACATGCTACTGTGTGTGTGTGGAGACACATGCTACTGTGTGTGTGTGGACACATGCTACTGTGTGTGTGGAGACACATGCTACTGTGTGTGTGTGGACACATGCTACTGTGTGTGTGTGGAGACACATGCTACTGTGTGTGTGTGTGTGGACACATGCTACTGTATGTGTGTGGAGACACATGCTACTGTGTGTGTGTGGACACATGCTACTGTATGTGTGTGGACACATGCTACTGTGTGTGTGTGGACACATGCTACTGTGTGTGTGGAGACACATGCTACCTTGTGTGTGGAGACACATGCTACTGTATGTGTGTGGACACATGCTACTGTGTGTGTGTGGACACATGCTACTGTGTGTGTGTGGAGACACATGCTACTGTATGTGTGTGTGGACACATGCTACTGTGTGTGTGTGGACACATGCTACTGTGTGTGTGTGTGGACACATGCTACTGTGTGTGTGTGGACACATGCTACTGTACGTGTGTGGACACATGCTACTGTGTGTGTGTGGAGACACATGCTACTGTATGTGTGTGTGGACACATGCTACTGTGTGTGTGTGGACACATGCTACTGTGTGTGTGTGTGGACACATGCTACTGTGTGTGTGGAGACACATGCTACTGTGTGTGTGGAGACACATGCTACTGTGTGTGTGTGGACACATGCTACTGTATGTGTGTGGACACATGCTACTGTGTGTGTGTGTGTGGACACATGCTACTGTATGTGTGTGGACACATGCTACTGTGTGTGTGTGTGTGGACACATGCTACTGTGTGTGTGTGGAGACACATGCTACTGTGTGTGTGTGGAGACACATGCTACTGTATGTGTGTGGAGACACATGCTACTGTGTGTGTGTGGAGACACATGCTACTGTATGTGTGTGGAGACACATGCTACTGTATGTGTGTGGAGACACATGCTACTGTGTGTGTGTGGAGACACATGCTACTGTATGTGTGTGGAGACACATGCTACTGTATGTGTGTGGAGACACATGCTACTGTGTGTGTGTGGAGACACATGCTACTGTATGTGTGTGGACACATGCTACTGTGTGTGTGTGGACACATGCTACTGTGTGTGTGTGGAGACATGCTACTGTGTGTGTGTGTGTGTGGACACATGCTACTGTATGTGTGTGGACACATGCTACTGTGTGTGTGTGGAGACACATGCTACTGTGTGTGTGTGGACACATGCTACTGTGTGTGTGTGGAGACACATGCTACTGTATATGTGTGGACACATGCTACTGTGTGTGTGTGTGTGTGGACACATGCTACTGTATGTGTGTGGACACATGCTACTGTGTGTGTGTACACATGCTACTGTGTGTGTGTGGAGACACATGCTACTGTGTGTGTGTACACATGCTACTGTGTGTGTGTGTGGACACATGCTACTGTGTGTGTGTGGACACATGCTACTGTGTGTGTGTGTGTGGACACATGCTACTGTGTGTGTGTGTGTGGACACATGCTACTGTGTGTGTGTGTGTGGACACATGCTACTGTATGTGTGTGGATACATGCTACTGTATGTGTGTGGACACATGCTACTGTGTGTGTGTGGACACATGCTACTGTGTGTGTGTGTGTGGACACATGCTACTGTATGTGTGTGGATACATGCTACTGTATGTGTGTGGACACATGCTACTGTGTGTGTGTGGACACATGCTACTGTATATGTGTGTGTGTGTGGACACATGCTACTGTATGTGTGTGGAGACACATGCTACTGTATGTGTGTGTGTGGACACATGCTACTGTGTGTGTGGAGACACATGCTACTGTGTGTGTGTGTACACATGCTACTGTATGTGTGTGGACACATGCTACTGTGTGTGTGTGGACACATGCTACTGTATGTGTGTGGACACATGCTACTGTATGTGTGTGGACACATGCTACTGTGTGTGTGTGTACACATGCTACTGTATGTGTGTGGACACATGCTACTGTATGTGTGTGGACACATGCTACTGTGTGTGTGTGGACACATGCTACTGTATGTGTGTGGACACATGCTACTGTATGTGTGTGGACACATGCTACTGTGTGTGTGTGGAGACACATGCTACTGTGTGTGTGTGTACACATGCTACTGTATGTGTGTGGACACATGCTACTGTGTGTGTGTGGACACATGCTACTGTATGTGTGTGGACACATGCTACTGTATGTGTGTGGACACATGCTACTGTGTGTGTGTGGACACATGCTACTGTGTGTGTGTGGACACATGCTACTGTATGTGTGTGGACACATGCTACTGTGTGTGTGTGTGTGGACACATGCTACTGTATGTGTGTGGACACATGCTACTGTGTGTGTGTGTGGACACATGCTACTGTGTGTGTGTGGACACATGCTACTGTATGTGTGTGGACACATGCTACTGTGTGTGTGTGGACACATGCTACTGTATGTGTGTGGACACATGCTACTGTGTGTGTGTGTGTGGACACATGCTACTGTATGTGTGTGGACACATGCTACTGTATGTGTGTGGACACATGCTACTGTATGTGTGTGTGTGTGGACACATGCTACTGTATGTGTGTGTGGAGACACATGCTACTGTATGTGTGTGTGTGGACACATGCTACTGTGTGTGTGTGGACACATGCTACTGTGTGTGTGTGGACACATGCTACTGTGTGTGTGGACACATGCTACTGTGTGTGTGTGGACACATGCTACTGTGTGTGTGTGGACACATGCTACTGTATGTGTGTGGAGACACATGCTACTGTGTGTGTGGACACATGCTACTGTGTGTGTGTGGACACATGCTACTGTGTGTGTGTGTACACATGCTACTGTGTGTGTGTGGACACATGCTACTGTGTGTGTGTGTGGACACATGCTACTGTGTGTGTGGACACATGCTACTGTGTGTGTGTGGACACATGCTACTGTGTGTGTGTGTGGACACATGCTACTGTGTGTGTGTGGACACATGCTACTGTGTGTGTGTGTGGACACATGCTACTGTATGTGTGTGTGTGTGGACACATGCTACTGTATGTGTGTGTGGAGACACATGCTACTGTATGTGTGTGTGTGGACACATGCTACTGTGTGTGTGTGGACACATGCTACTGTGTGTGTGTGTACACATGCTACTGTGTGTGTGTGTACACATGCTACTGTGTGTGTGTGGACACATGCTACTGTGTGTGTGGACACATGCTACTGTGTGTGTGTGTGGACACATGCTACTGTATGTGTGTGGACACATGCTACTGTGTGTGTGTGGACACATGCTACTGTGTGTGTGTGTACACATGCTACTGTGTGTGTGTGGAGACACATGCTACTGTGTGTGTGTGGAGACACATGCTACTGTATATGTGTGTGTGTGGACACATGCTACTGTATGTGTGTGTGTGTGGACACGTGCTACTGTATGTGTGTGGACACGTGCTACTGTATGTGTGTGTACACATGCTACTGTATGTGCACCTGTCGTGCAGTTGGGTTCTGCTCACATACAGTAAGTTAAATACAATTCTTTGAAAACAATGGAAGAAATCGATACATTTTTGATATTTTAAAAAGTTAATTTAAAAGCCAACATAACATGCGTGCATTCTTATATATGTCGACATATGTTAGATTGTCATACTGCTTGCGGTTTATGGCCTGTTGATGTTGTCTTGGCCATCTGATATTTTCTTATTATGGCCAGCCGTCCTTCTCATGATATGGCCAATTCCCACAATATTGCTGTGACAAGCTGCCATTATATTGTTTAGCCAACCACCATTAAATTGTTTTGGTCAGCCACCATTAAATTATTTTGGTCAGCCACCATTAAATTGCTATGGCCAACCCCAATTAAATTGTTTTGGCCAACCACCAATAAATTGTTTTGGCCAACCACCATTAAATTGTTTTGGCCAACCAACAATAACTTGTTTTGGCCAACCACCAATAAATTGTTTTGGCCAACCACCAATAAATTGTTTTGGCCATCCACCATTAAATTGTTTTGGCCAACCACCAATAAATTGTTTTGGCCAACCACCATTAAATTGTTTTGGCCAACCACCATTAAATTGTTTTGGCCAACCACCATTAAATTGTTTTGGCCATCCACCATTAAATTGTTTTGGCCAACCACCAATAAATTGTTTTGGCCAACCACCAATAAATTGTTTTGGCCAACCACCATTAAATTGCTATGGCCAACCACCATTAGTTTTGGCCAACCACCATTATAGTGTTTTGGCCAACCACCATTCAATTGTTTTGGCCAACCACCATTACATCTTTATTGCAGTTATAAATTTTATGAGTTGGATACAAATGTGATTTAACGATCGCAGGGATTATTTTTCTTACCGATGAAGACCGCCCCCACAATGAATACCAGCCTCCCACCCCCAATATTAACCCACGCACCCCACCCCTACCCAAATACCGATACTCTTTGACTTGAACGATCATCTGTTTACCCCTCCCCCATTGGTTATTGCCGGTCACGTGATCCTGTAGATCAAAGATGAACACGTGTCAGATGATGAGTGAGTACAATGCTAGCTACTCAGCTCCTTCCATAAATCATGACACATTCTTCACGCTAGGGATACTGTTGTAGTGTAGGTGTGTCTAATGGGTGGCTCCTGTCTTTCAGGGTCTGGCTCTATGTGATGGAAGTCAACGGCTCTAGCAGAAAGACAACAGTGTGACAACCACGGTGGCAGGAAGACAACAGTGTGACAACCCCGGTAATTTATAGCAGCGTGACAACCACGGTGATAGAAAGACAACAGCGTAACAACCACGGTGGCACAAAGACAACAGTGTGACAACCACAGCACTGTGGCGAAGGCATATCAGTGTAAGATGTAATCAAAGTGTAAGAGAAAATATGCAGATGATTTCCTAGCGCTAGGCTAGCGAAGAAGGGAAACAATCCATGATCAGCCAGACGATAAAACTGCTACCTAATCTTACTGCCGTCTGCAAAATGAGGAAGTCAAATCGCAATCGTCTGCTGAAGAGAACTCTGCTAGTCGTGCCCGTCGTTTGGATTATCTACTCCTTTCGTGTTATCGTATTCCCTAAGGCAGATCTTAATGAGGTCAACCTCGATCTGAGAGAGGTCAACCTAGATGACGGCGTTAGAAATCTGAAGCCGGCGGTTGAGAGCATGACACAACAGCAGCAACAACAGCAGCAGCAGCAACAGCAGCAGCAACAGCAGCAGAAGAAGCTGACTTTTGATGAAGCTCTGCAGGCGGCCCCTGACCCGAGACACCTGGAGAAGCTGGCAGAAATTGGGGGCCGTTTGGTGGAGAAGAGGCCAGCAACAGACTTTGAGAGCGTCATCTTGCCGCCATTTAATGGGGAGATCAACGCCAACGGTCCAGGTAAGATGCAGTTTAATTTTTGTATTAATTCCACGTGTGCCAGTGTGACCTTGAACGGTAAAGGTCAAGCTGAACACACGTGACTCGTCTGATTATCTAAAGTCCCCAGCTCGGCAAATAACGACAAGATTAAACTGAACTAGCTAAAGATGTTTTTATATCTGTTAATGGACTTTGGCTTCATTTATATTATAATGACCGTCCACACTGCCATTAAACAGATTTATCGTGATGTTAATAGATGAGATATGGTTCTTTCTTTTAATTTTTGTCCCTTGAGTATTCTTAAGGTTTCAAGTTAAAGTTTATCGAAAGTCTAAGGAGTTTAATCCTTTAAAAACTGAAATGAAGACAACATTAAAATTTGTTTATGTTGAAGCAGAGATTGCTTACAGGTTTTGCCAAGGGCAAGCATGACGGTATTAAAATAAACAAAGTTTATTTAATTCTTTAATGTTGTATTAGCAGGAAAAATACTTTTGCTACATTTGAGTTGCAGATTTGTGTAGGCTATTCAAGATATTTGATAGAGCTTTTGTGTTCACCAAAGCGAATTTGTGTGTGTAGATTTAACAAATCAATGATATGATTCTTTAAAGTGTTGTTAGAAATGACGGCACATATCTAATGATCGGAGGGCCAAGTTTTATGACCTCATACTACATAAAGGGAGGGGGGGGGGGTACGAAGACTCTCTATTTCAACTAGATGTACATGGTAGTTTAGGGATACGAATGGTAAACAATCAAGTTTAAACAAACTTTACATACTGAACAATTTAAATTTATGAAACACTCCAAGTCGAGAAGGGCAGGATTTTTATTAAATTGTTTATTTTCTGACACAAAGCTAAACCTTCACACACATTGTTCTTTTTAATGAACTTAGTGCTTTACTCTTCTGTACACCAGCTCATGTTTGGTAGACAGTTTATACACACTACTTAGTTATCTACTCACCATTGAGTCTCGTGAACACGGTTTAGTATCTTACAAACCGTGCAGTTGGACACACCATTCAAGAATGCACACTACGAGTTTAGCCCCGATAATCCGACATGCACTTGCTAATGCAACAAGCTTTTGCTAACAACATTAGGACAATCCTTACGTCATACATGTCATTCCGCCCAGCGTCCACTGGTACTGGAACTTTATCTCTACTAACATGTCTCCCACAGGTGGGGTAGAGGTGTGGCTAACATATAGGCCTGTCTCTGCTACTGGTGGGGGGTAGAGGTGTGACTAACATGTCTCTCTGCTACAGGTGAGGGGGGTCGAGGCGTGACCTTGGACTTGAACTCTCTGTCCGAGAGTGACAGGGCCAGACACAAGCAAGGCCTGGCTGACAACAGCTTCAACCAGTATGCCAGTGACATGGTGTCAGTACACCGCAGCCTGCCAGATGGGCGGGGCCAGGCGTGAGTACTCTCTATCTATGTTTACGTGCGATAATTTATGCACAAGTCTCTGTATCTATGTTTACGATAATTTATGCAAGGATCCAGGGGATCTATGTTTACGTGCTATAATTTATGCATGGATCCAGGGGAAATAAGTAGGCAAATAAAGCACATTTTAAAAATGTGTTCATTTGGATTTCATTTTAAGGTCTCAGTGCCTGAAATTGACTTATGTAAGAAGTTGCCTTTTAAATTCTGCCTTTGCAGTAAGCCACTTTGATTTTGCCATTATGGAATTGGTAAACGGAAAAAAAGTCACAATGGAAAAATTTTATCGGAAAAAAAGTCACAGAAATAAATTCACAGAAAAAAAGTCACACAAATCTTTTTAGAAATCTTTTGATTTATTTGTAAAGAATTGTAAAATTTTGTATGTTATTTTTGTGGGTTGTATTTTTTGATAGCATAAATTATTTATAGACGTTAAAAGTATTATGATTTATAAAAATTGTAAGTAAAAATACTCTAAGATAATTTACACAACAATCTTAACTTTTGTTACGTATTTAGTTACATACGCGGTAGAAAAGTTAACTATAAAAGAAATTTAGGCACATCATTGTGTTTTGCATAGGTTTTGCCGTAGGATATTCTATGGTCGGCTTCTCCTCAGTCGGCATTGTCCGAACATATTTTGTGTTGTTGACGTTTTGTGTCAATGACAACCTTTGAACCTTGTCGGCTTTCTGTTTTGATCCTATGTTTTGTTATGTAATGAGCGTGATAAATGTGGGCAGTAAAGGTGGTTGAACTAAGCATAACTATTGTTGCGATGAGTTGAGGGCAGTAATTCAGATGACCTTACCATTTCACGGTAATTTAATTTAAAAAAAACACGATGAAAACCGTGGACATTCTATTAAATGCTATAAATATTATGTTTAACATAATTACAATCTATACAATTCATACTAAATATTTTTAGATGAATTATAAAAATTACTATACGTATACAACCTACACACATTACATTACATTTAATTAATCTTAAGTTAATTTGCACTCTCTGAATATTTAATACATAAAAGTATTAACAAATCCCATGCAAATATATATTTGTGACTTTTTTTCCTGTGACTTTTTTTCCTGTGACTTTTTTTCCTGTGACTTTTTTTCTCTGTTTTTTTTTCCTGTGTTTTTTTTTCCTGTGACTTTTTTTCCTACAATCTATGGAATTAGCCTCCAAGACAGCCATTATGGACTTTAGAATTTTTCCTCATGAACCTTGCCTCTAATACTGTGCCTTATTATTTTCAAATTTTTGCTTCTTGACTTTTTCCTTGACCTATCACGTGACCAAATATTTTCAGCTGTAAAGCCTAGACCCCTGTGTATCACGTGATATTTTCAGCTGTAAAGCCCAGACCCCTGTGTATCACGTGATATTTTCAGCTGTAAAGCCCAGACCCCTGTATATCACGTGATATTTTCAGCTGTAAAGCCCAGACCCCTGTATATCACGTGATATTTTCAGCTGTAAAGCCCAGACCCCTGTATATCACGTGATATTTTCAGCTGTAAAGCCCAGACCCCTGTATATCACGTGATAATTTCAGCTGTAAAGCCCAGAGCAACAGCTACAGCACCAGCTTGCAACCGGTCAGTGTGATCATCATATTCCACAACGAGGCCTGGTCAGTTCTCCTGCGGTCAGTGCACAGCATCCTGGGAAGGACACCTGACAGCCTGCTCAATGAGGTCATTCTAGTGGACGACTTCTCCACAAAAGGTTGCTGTGACTCTTTTGGGAGTTAGGATAGTGCTATTGTTACCTTGACACTTTTGGGAGTTAGGATAGTGTTATTGTTACTGTGACTCTTTTGGGAGTTAGGATAGTGCTATTGTTACCTTGACATTTTTGGGAGTTAGGATAGTGCTTTTGTTACATTGATCTTTTTGGGAGTTAGAATTAGTGCTATTGTTACATTGACATTGTTGGGAGTTAGGATAGTGCTATTGTTACATTGACATTGTTGGGAGTTAGGATAGTGCTATTGTTACATTGACATTGTTGGGAGTTAGGATAGTGCTATTGTTACATTGACATTTTTGGGAGTTAGGAAAGTGCTATTTATAGAATGGGCCGAAGATAATGGTTCGAGAAAAATAATTTCTTAACTGAATATTTTGATTTGAGAGCGTGGTGGAATGTTCTAGCGTTTGACTGCTATCCTGAAGGTCTCGAAGTCGTAGGATTTAAGTCCATCCAGCTCTGATGAGTACCTGGCTCACTTTAGGAAAAGTAAAGGCGCCTAGTCAAAATGCTGACCACTGTCACTCCATAAGCCAAAGACACTGAAACAGGTCAACTCCACTTCTTTTGCCCAATGAACCGTTTGTTTGCAAAAGATACTTTACTTGAAACAATATTTTGTATGTTGTAATAAGTTATTAAATAAAAACTTGGTCGTGTGAATTTATTATTAAAAAAATAGATTTACTAATCGTACCTCAATTCACATCTAGAATCTCTCGTAGAATTTTAACCAATCGTATCTTATGTTACTGAGCACCACGGAGCATCCCTAAAAATGTAGCCAATCGTATCTTGTTACAGAGCACCTGGGAGCGCCCCTGGAGAAATACTTCAACTCCTACCCCAAGGTTCAGATCGTGCGAGCCACCCAGCGCCAGGGCCTGACACGAGCTCGTCTGCTGGGGTACCACGTGTCCACGGCACCAATCGTCGTCTTTCTGGACTCACACATCGAGTGTTTTCCAGGTGAGGTCACGCAGGTGAGGTCACCAGGTGAGGTCATCCAGATGGGGTCACCCAGGTGAGGTCACCCAGGTGAGGTGACACAGGTGAGGTCACACAGGTGAGGTCACGCAGGTGAGGTCACGCAGGTGAGGTCACGCAGGTGAGGTCACCTGGTGAGGTCACACAGGTGAGGTCACACAGGTGGGGTCACTCAGGTGAGGTCACGCAACTTTTATAAATGCACTAAGTGGTTAGTTTTTGGTGAGGAGAAAGCCAGCATTACATAAACACACACATATATAAAACATATACATATATTGTTCAATACATACAAATATATATATATATATATATATATATATATATATATATATATATGTACATATATATATATATATGTACATATATATATATATATATGTACATATATATATATATGTACATATATATATATATATGTACATATATATATATATATATATATATATATATATATATATATATATATATATATATATATATATATATATATATATATATATATATATATATATACGATTAGCTTTTGTTTGCTTGATATTTTAACACGTGTAGTTGTAGTTACGAACACAGTAACAATGTATCACGACGATACCGCGCTAATCCCACGTGTATACAAATGGTTTGTGTTGCCAGATGGCCCAGCACTAAACAAACAGATAAAGTTGTGACACGGCCCGTTGTTTGAAGGGTTTAGCCATTGATTCCCACAGCGCTCAATAGTCGGCTTGATAGGGCTATTGAATTTTTTGATCGTAAATCTTTTGAGTCCCGAAACATTGTAATAATGTTTTTATTAGGAAAGTGGTTTTAAAGACGTTTATGTGAGTTGATAATTCAACGTTTTGCTACACACATAGTGAGCGACATAGGGACCAGTGGCGTAGCGAGGTCGGGTGTCACCCGGTGCGGCACTTAATGGTGTCACCCCCCCCCCCCCCCCCAGAGGCATAGAGACCCTTCCCAGGGACAAACTTTCAAATTTTCGATTTGCACCCCCCCCCTCAAACTTTCCATTTGCACCCCCCCTCAAGTTTTCGATTTGCACCCCCCCTCAAACTTTCGATTTGCACCCCCCATCGAGTTTTTCTCTATATATTTTGCTATTTTTTGCCTTGGTGTCACCCCCCTAAATGGTGTCACCCGGTGCGGTCCGCACCCCCCGCCCCCCCCCCCCCTCGCTACGCCCCTGATAGGGACAGTCTGGTGACATGTGTCGCATGTGGGTGTGTGTAGGTGTGTTCGTGTGTTGTAGGTATGTGTCAGGGTGTGTAGCTTTCTACGAATGTGTGAAGGTTTAGGTTAGTGTGTGTAGATTTTTTGTGTGTGAGTGTTTGTAGGTTACAGTGAGTGTGTATGTAAATGGGCCAGCTAATTATGAAAGACACAACCACCAATAAACAAACGATTAACACAACCACCAATAAACAAATGAAAGACGCAACCACCAATAAACAAACGATTGCATCTTTCAATTTGTCTTTTGCCCGAAAGTAATCTTAACCCCATGTCAATAGAGGATTGTAGGAAAAAAAAGTCACAGGAAAAAAAAATACAGGAAAAAAAAACACAGAAAAAAAGTCACAGGAAAAAAAGTCACAGGAAAAAAAGTCACAGGAAAAAAAGTCACAAATATATATTTGCATGATATTTGATAATACTTTTATGCATTAAATATTTAGAGAGTGCAAATTAACTTAGGATTAATTAAATGTAATGTAATGTGTGTAGGCTGTATACGCATAGGAATTTTTATAATTCATCTAAAAATATTTATTATGAAGTATGTAGATTGTAATTATGTTAAACTTAAGATTAGTAGCATTTAATAGAATGCTCTAAAGTCTACGTTTTTCATCGTGTTTTTTTAAATACCAATATTAAATTACCGTGAAATGGTAAGCTCGTCTGCCTTGATGCCCTCAACTCATGGCAACAATAGTTATGTTTAGTTCAACCACCTTTAATGCCCACATTACATAACAAAAGTTAGGATCAAAACAGAAAGCCGCCAAGGTTCAAAGGCTGTCATTGACACATAATGCCAACAACACAAAATATGTTCGGACAAAGCCTACTGAGGAGAGGCCGACCAGAGAATAGCCTACGGCAAAATATGCCTAAATTTCTTATATAATTAACTTTTCTACTGCGTATTTAACTAAATACGTAACAAAAGTTGAGATTGTTGTGTTAATTATCTTAGAGTATTTTTACTTACAATTGTTATAAATCATAATGCTTTTAATGTCTATAAATAATTTATGCTAGCAAAAAATACAACCCACAACAATAAACATACAAAATTTTACAATTCTTAACAAATTAACACAAATATTTCTAAAAAGATTTTTGTGACTTTTTTTCTGTGACTTTATTTCTGTGACTTTTTTTCCGATACAATTTTTCCACTGTGACTTTTTTTCTGTGACTTTTTTTCCTAGCAAAAACTGACTTTTTTCTGTGTTTTTTTTTCCTGTGACTTTTTTTCCGTTCACCCAATAGAGATGGTCTTAACCCTAAATTCGTGACACACTCAAGTCTCTTATCTTAATCCTAACTTAGGAACACACAAAAACCTAACTCTCATACCTTGACCCTCACTTGTCTTAATATGTATGTCTGTGAACATAATCCTAACGTATGAACACACGTATGTCTGTCAACATAATCCTAACGTATGAACACACGTATGTCTGTCAACATAATCCTAACGTATGAACACACGTATGTCTGTGAACTTTATCCTAACGTATGAACACACGTATGTCTGTGAACTTAATCCTAACGTATGAACACATGTATGTCTGTGAACTTTATCCTAACGTATGAACACATGTATGTCTGTGAACTTAATCCTAACGTATGAACACACGTATGTCTGTGAACTTAATCCTAACGTATGAACACACGTATGTCTGTGAACTTAATCCTAACGTATGAACACACGTATGTCTGTGAACTTAATCCTAACGTATGAACACATGTATGTCTGTGAACATAATCCTAACGTATGAACACACGTATGTCTGTGAACTTAATCCTAACGTATGAACACACGTATGTCTGTCAACATAATCCTAACGTATGAACACACGTATGTCTGTCAACATAATCCTAACGTATGAACACACGTATGTCTGTCAACATAATCCTAACGTATGAACAGTGGCGTAGCGAGGTCGGGTATCACCTGGTGCGGCACTCAGAGGCGTAGCGACTCTTCCCGGGTATTTGCACCCCCCCTGGAACTTTCGATTTGCACCCCCCCCCCTTCTCAAACTTGCGATTTCCGCCCCCCCCCCTCAAATTTTTCTCTATATATTTTACTATTTTTTGCCTTGGTGTCACCCCCCTAAATGGTGTCACCCGGTGCGATCCGCACCCCCGCCCCCCCCCCCGCCCATCGCTACGCCTCTGCGTATGAACACACCTATGTCTATGAAGTTAATCCTAACCTGTCTACACACGTTTGCTAAAAACTTAAACCTAACGTATGAACGTATGTCTCTGAGCCTAACCCTTACAAAACCTGTCTCTGAACCTAACCCTTACAAAACCTGTCTGTGAACCTAACCCCTACAAAACCTGTCTCTGAACCTAACCCTAACACCTGACATTTGCTCCAGCCTGGGCCGAGCCCCTGAGTGCCAGGATCACAGAAAACCCGACAGTTGTCGCCTTCCCCAGCATCGAAGTCATCGATGACGACAGCCTCGCCACTCAACAAAACACGAACGTCAACCAGTTTGGGATCTTTAGGTTCAAGGACCTGACCTTCCAGTGGCAGAACATTCCAGAAAGTGAAAGAAAGAGACGCAGAAATCAGGCGGATACCATCAGGTGAGTTGATGGTGTGGACGTGTCTGATGCAGTCTAGTTTGACACACCGCAGGGTGAGGATGTAATGTGGTCTCATGCTGACGTTGTTTCATGTTGAAATGGTACTGTTGTCTCATGCTGTCTCATGCTGTCTCATGTTGTCTCATGTTGTCTCATGGTGTCTCATGCTGTCTCATGCTGTCTTATGCTGTCTCATGCTGTCTCATGCTGTCTCATGTTGACGTTAGTAATGTTGTCTTTTGTCCCGTGTTGTCCCATGATGAGCCTCCCATGATGAGCCTCCCATGATGAGCCTCCCATGATGAGCCTCCCATGAAGAGCCTCCCATGATGAGCCTCCCATGGTGAGCCTCCCATGGTGAGCCTCCCATGATGAGCCTCCCATGATGAGCCTCCTATGATGAGCCTCCCATGATGAGCCTCCTATGATGAGCCTCCCATGATGTGCCTCCCATGATGAGCCTCCTATGATGAGCCTCCCATGATGAGCCTCCCATGATGAGCCTCCCATGGTGAGCCTCCCATGATGAGCCTCCCATGATGAGCCTCCTATGATGAGCCTCCCATGATGAGCCTCCTATGATGAGCCTCCCATGATGAGCCTCCCATGATGAGCCTCCCATGATGAGCCTCCCATGATGAGCCTCCTATGATGAGCCTCCCATGATGAGCCTCCCATGATGAGCCTCCCATGATGAGCCTCCTATGATGAGCCTCCCATGATGAGCCTCCCATGATGAGCCTCCCATGATGAGCCTCCCATGATGAGCCTCCCATCCTCCCCAGATCCCCCACCATGCCGGGCGGTCTGTTTGCCATCAGCCGGATGTTCTTTGACAGGCTGGGGACGTACGACCCCGGGCTGGACTACTGGGGCGGCGAGAACATCGAGCTGTCATTTAAGGTGAGGGGTCGGGAATATACGGGGGTGGGGGTCGGGATTATACGGGGGTGGGTCAGGACTACAAGGTGGGTGATGTCGGGACTATAAGATGGGTGGGCTCGGGACTATAAGGTGAGAGGGGGTCGGACCTATAAGGTGGGTGGGGTCGGGGTATAAGGTGGGTGGGGTCGGGACTATAAGGTGGGTGGGGTCGGGACTATAAGGTGAGAGGGGGTCGGACATATAAGGTGGGTGGGGTCGGGGCTATAAAGTGGGTGGGGTCGGGGCTATAATGTGTCTGGTCGCGAGTAAGTTGGCCAAGATAAGCGGGGCTTGAAATTAGGGCTGGGGTCGCTAACAGCAGGTGATTGGGGTCGGTAAAATGGTAGATTAGAAGGTGGCGGGGTGGGGGGGGGACGTTGGACAAAAGGGTGGGGGGGGGGGTCTTTTTATTTCAGTGAAATGAAATGTTGAGTGTGTTACAAAAAAGCGCGTGTGATGTTTGAATCTCGTGACTCGTCTGTTCCACAGGCGTGGATGTGTGGGGGCAGCGTGGAGATGGTGCCCTGCTCCCACATCGGGCACATCTTCCGCAAGACGAACCCCATCAAGTGGACCAGGGACATCGGCAACAAGAACTCTGTGAGGGTGGCTGAGGTCTGGATGGACGACTATAAGAACTACTTCTATGAGAGGATTCTATACAGTCTGGTGGGTTCTGTGGGGGGGGGGGGGGGGGGGGGGGGGGTGGGGGGGTTGTGTGGGGGGGGGGGGGGGGGGGGTGTCTAACGGCTTGTCGGACGACTATAAGAACTACTTCTATGAGAGGATTCTATACAGTCTGGTGGGTTCTGTGGGGGGTGGGGGGTTGTGGGAGGGTGTCTAACGTTTGGATGGACGACTATAAGAACTACTTCTACGAGAGGATTCTATACATTCTGGTGGGTTCTGTGGGGGTGGGATTGTGGGGGGGGGGTTGTATATGTAATATGTAAATGTAAATGTAGATTTATATATATATATATATATATATATATATATATATATATATATATAGTGAGAGGAGAGAGAGGGATACAATCTTATACTACTGTAATAATCGTCCCTAAACTCACTGTTATATGTCCCAACCCCCCAACCCCCCCCCCCCCCCCCCCTCACCAGACCCCCATAATCATAATATGTAGTAGCAACACAATCCCATCAAACGTCAGTTGCCATTGTGCATGACGTAACTCCTGCTATCTCATGATGTGATTAGTTACCCCACAAGTCAAATAGATGCAGCCCCACAGCTGCCCACACAGCTTCCCCCACAACTTCCCCCACACAGCCTAATCCCTCACATGCCCGCTCTGTTGACTCAGAGCTTTCGTTACATCCAGCCCACCGAATGGAATGTTCAAACCCTTGCAGTCACAAACTTCATCAAACTTTAAAGATCGAACTTTGGTCGGTTAATATAGACGTAAACCCGTGATAAGGTCCACACTATTACAAGATGAAAGTAAATCAGAATTAGAAAATGTCATTGAATAATTGATTCTAGTTTTTTACTTTCTTTCTGTGATGCTTAATTTTCTTGGTGTATGTTGGCATGTATGTTACATATCTAGATATCGTTTCAGCATTAAATTAAATTTTTTTTTGTTTTCTGATAATCTCTAAAGCAACTAGTTTTATGTGGAAAACCGTATTTTGTGTTGTTGTCAGCGGGACTATGGTGACGTCACGGAGAGAAAGAAATTACGTCAGGACCTCAAATGCCAGTCATTTGAATGGTACATACGTAATGTGTATCCTGACATACAGCTTACGGCCAACATCAAGTATGCAGGGGAGGTAAGTATTTAAAGAGGGGAGGTAATTCAAAACTGTGTGTGTGTGGGGGGGGGGGGGGTTATAGAGAGAGGAGGTAGGATTGTTGGGTGGAGGTAATATTGAGAGGGAGGTAACTCAGAGAAGGGAAGCAATAGACGGAGTTGAGATAATAGAGGGATGGCGGTAATATAGGGAAGGGAGGTAATAAATAGATTGGAGTTAAGCAAGCAGAGTATGTAATAGTAATAGAGGAAGAGTATACACGGTCGGAGGGTAGGTAAGGGTAGGTAAGCAGACATGCTATCTCAGCTGATTGAGCTTAAGGCATAAAATGTGAAAGATAAGCCAGACATGAGACTGAATGGTTTTAAATTGTTCAAATTGTGTGAGGTCTAAGTCATCAGTGTCTAGAAATTTCAACTCCCACAAAAATGCTGGTCATTTTATTCTGGCTGAGTCAGCTCGTTAAAGAATGTTTTGGCCCAGACTTATAGGAAACATTGAGCACTCAGCTATCGTGGCTTTGTTTGTGTGGACGCGAGGCAGCAGCTACACATTGTACTTGTGTTCATCATGTAAACAAAGACATTCTGTGACAGTTTTAATAATAAAATAAATTTGTCCTTGACCTAGATCCGAAGCGTGGCGTCTCCCCGGTGCGTGGACAGCATGGGCGGGCCTTCAGCCAATCAGCATGAGCCAAAGATGTACCCGTGCCACGGTCAAGGTTACAACCAGTTTTGGTACCTGACGGAGGACGGTCAGATCTCTCAAGACGATGTCTACGTCTGCTGGTCCAACATGAAAGTTGTCAACGGCCCGCCGTGTCAGTCGAACGGAGTCACGTGGCAGTATCGAAACGTTAGTCTCCCTTGTTTGTTTACTTACTTACTTCCCTTCTTTCTCACAGACAAGCTGGACGATTTATTTGGGAAAATTACAATAAATCGCATTTTTCGTTTGAAGGAAGTGTTCTACATTAGAAAAGGAAGATTTTATAATCTAGGGAATCCGTGAAAATATCACATCTTTTACACATTGTTGGTTTAGTACTACTTCTGACATCTGCTACAACAACTGACAAATATAAAATCTTTTACAACTGACAAATGTAAAATCTTTTACAACTGACAAATATAAAATCTTTTACAAATGACAAATATAAAATCTTTTACAACTGACAAATATAAAATCTTTTACAACTGACAAATATAAAATCTCTTACAACTGACAAATATAAAATCTTTTACAACTGACAAATATAAAATATTTTACAACTGACAAATGTAAAATCTTTTACAACTGACAAATGTAAAATCTTTTACAACTGACAAATGTAAAATCTTTTACAACTGACAAATGTAAAATCTTTTACAACTGACAAATGTAAAATCTTTTACAACTGACAAATATATGATCTTCTATGAGAAATGTAAAATATGCCACTCTCTATAACCAATGATATTCGTACTTGCTTTTAAATTCTTGACAAAAAAAAATATCGAGTAAAATCACTCCTATTAATCATAAATTGTTTGAATAATTTTGTTCCTTGCCTGCCCAGGACGAAAGTCTACTTCACCTGCCTTCCGGCCTGTGTCTGACGTCAGGGGTGTATGACGACACACTGACACTGAGCACGTGCGCAGACAACAAATGGCAGAAGTGGAAGTTCCAGCCGAGACGCACAGATATAAACTTCCCGCATTAGTTTTCTCAATTTGTTATATCGTTGTTTTAGATTGTTATATTTATAATGGCCATCAAAATAAACAGAAGAAATACCACAATTAGTTACTGATATTTTTCGTGAACCATCATTCCAAGTTTTCTGATTCCAGATTTAAATAAACCCTTGTGTAAAAGAAGAAAAAAACCCCCAAAAAACTTAGGGGCAATAACTCCTTTAAATAACAATTTAAAAAAACAGAACTCCACTTTCATCGACTACCGTTAAAAACGCTTAGGCCTATCGCATGGTTGATCGCTTTCAACCCAGTTTTCTTATTTTAAGAAAATTGTTTTTATATTATCAAGGGCGTTTCAATAATTTAAACTTGTATTTTAAAAAGTAAAAAGTATTTGCTACAAAAGCCAGTAGGTTTGGTCTAAAGTATAAGTCAAATAAATATGCAGCAATCCCTCATCTCAGGATAGACATCTAGACACTGGTGTCGCAAGGTACATATTTTACAGAGGTAATTAATTTACATTGTAATCTTTAGCTTTACCTAGCTGTGTAATATGCTGAAATATATTTTTCGACACGATACTGTTATCAAGGTACTGCTTATAATAGTACCGCATGCAGAAATACTGCCTAAAATAGTACTGTTTACAAAGGTAGAATTTATGTAAGCAATAGGACCGAAATACTGACAAAAAATATTTCCCGCTGCGCACCAAGTTTTGGATATTCCCGATGTCGAATGAAATCCAAACCGTACCAAACGAATGTGAAGCATCTTCGCGATTTGTACATAAACTGACAATGTTTTAAAAGAATTATCCAGAACTTTATCCAGATGATTCCCCGAACCATGCAGGGGCGTGTCCAGCTGTGGGGTAGGTGTGTTATGGTGGTCACGTGTTGGGCTATGCTGACCTTGAACTGGCCGTCTGTGTCCGCGCTACAGCCATTCCAGTGCGTCAATTTCCCGCCGTTCCCTCTAAACGGTAAACTCAAGATCAGTGGACGGTTTGATGTCAGGATTACCTGCCCCTCTCCTGACACTGACCTCCCCCTCAACGCCCCGGGGGAGAGCGGCGTCTTGTCCTGTGACCCACTAGAAGAGAACTACAAATTCGACGCAGTCAGCGTCCCCGAGTGTCTCCCTTTAAAAGTTCCGACCAAGCTTTACCTCCCCTTTGATATGAGCTACACTCTACACTCATGCAACGAAAGCGACGTCACCGCTCTAAAAAATCACGTGACTGAGATTAGGGATAAGCTGCTAGAAGGTTCTGAGTTCAACTGCGGCGTAGCATGCCACTGGACGCAGATGACAGCAACTTGCGACGAGAATTTGATTTTCGCGGAGAACGGCATGCCATCGCAAGCAGACATCAACTTCGGCCTGCACAAAGACTACACCAACAAAGTTTCCGTGGAGCGGTACCTGGATGAGGCTGAGAGGATCAAAGACCTCCTGCTTTTGTCGGCTGAGGACTTTGCAGACGTCCAGCGGCGCTGGGGTGTGCCTGACGCCAGTCTGGAGCGGGTGGAGGTCGAGTCTTGGATCTCATCCTGCGAGCAGCACCTCCACACCGCGGGGACCAAGCTCGCCACCCACAGGATCGCTTCCTGCAGGGGCTGTCCCGTCAGCTACTTCTTCGAGCAGATGAGCAGCTCCTGCGTCCAGTGCCCCTACGGCTACATGACCAAAGGGCCCTTCTCGTCGGACTGTGAGGTCTGCCCGCCCGAGGCGGAGTGGGGCGCTGACCGGAAGATGATGATCAAGCTCTGCTACTCCCGTGTTTAACGGCGCCCTCATGGCTGTTGCCTGGCAAAACATTTGATACACACCGGATGTGACGTCACGGCTAGGATAGCTGAACTCATGTGTTCTATGATCGTGTGGTTTGACAACACATGTGGTTTAACAAATGTTTAAGTATTTTTAAGTAAACAAAGTTTAATTTTTTAAGTTTCTTCACGTGTTTGTTTTCTCTAATTCCACGTTCAAGTTGTTTAACTTTTCACTTTTAGCTGACCCGCGACGTAGCGTTCGTCGCTATTTAGTTGTTTTATTTTCTGCTTATCAGCAATTCATAATTTGTGAATTGGATACTACCCCCACCCACCCCCACCCGCCCTGTGAAAGCAGCCGTCCATGACGACAATTTGCAGACGAGAATCTATCTATATAAATATTTCTCTACGTGGGGACCATACGAGGCACCACCACGAAAGGGCTTAGCCGTTCCTACCCCGCTCTTTAGGCATAACGCTACCACCCCCACCCCACCAGTCCGGTGAGCTATAGTTAACACTAAATGTTTGCAATCGTAGAGCCGGGTCGAATTAGTGACGGCTATTAGGGGCAGATAATTTAGTTTTTTAAACGATTTGAAACGAAGAGGAGGTAACAATTCGTTGTGAACCACAACTCACCAGGTGGGTGGTGGGGTTGATAGCGATATGCTTGGAGAGAAAGTGAGGGGGAAGCGAGGCGTGCTTACATGGTGGTGTTCCGCATGGTCCCCATGTACTGAATTATATATATATATATATATATATATATATATATATATATATATATATATATATATATATATATATATATATATATATATATATATATATGGTGAAATTGTAGCAAGAAGCGACATACATTCGCGGTAGCCAATATCTTGAATAAACGTGACACTATTTTAGTCTGGGTGACCACGAGGGACCTCTAGCCACTGGCCACTAGCCACTCACCCCTCCTGTCTACGCCACTGGTTGAATGGACTTATTGCCAAGACTCTGAAAGTATGAGCACCTCCAACTCACTTGAAGGCATTCTTGCAGGCTGATACAGGCATCAGTTAAAGAACCCATAGTGTAAACAAAGATTCCATTTGGTCGACTTTTCTCCTTTATACAACCACGAAAAACAAAAGCAGGTCAATTTTCTACCAATTTAATGTTTAACAAGAAAGTAAAACTAACAAGATTGGAAAATTGAGTTCAAATGGAACAACGAAACAAATAATGCTTACATTACATGTGGCTGGTTAATGTGTAATGCTTCAGTTAACTACTTAGACCAGCGGCAAGACCATTCGTTAAGTCATTCGTTGAGTCATTCGTTGAGTCATTCGGTGAGTCATTCGGTGAGTCATTCGGTAAGTCATTCGGTAAGTCATTCAGTAAGTCATTTGGTAAGTCATTTGGTAAGTCATTTGGTAAGTCATGCGTTAAGTCAGTTTCAATTCACGTTGTCCACACATTCCAACGTTGCAAGATTTTCATTGATAGGACATTGTGCTGTACAAGACACCACAAGTACAGAGGCAGGACATTGTCCTATTGCGACTACAGGACATTGTCCTATTGCGACTACAGGACATTGACATGCAGCAGTCGCTGCAAGAATCAGATGTGCTAAAAGCCAGTCCTTCAAAAAGTCCAATGTGTCACGTGGTCAAGGAACAGCCAATAGGAAAACAAGAACCTACGACATTCGAGACGGGGGGGGGGGGGGGGGGGTATTTACACGTCAGCTTTAGCCACAGGGTTGGGCATTTGGCACTTAAAACATTTTCTCATGTTTCTGGGAATAACTTGATCATCAAACATCAGATTCGTGTTAAATATCGGATTTCTTTAAACATCATAAAAAATTAAATAAAAGATAAATTTACATCAAATATCATATCGTAATATTAAATTAATTTTAAGCGAATACCATTAGGTGCAGTTTAATGCATCATCAAAAATAAAACAAGTTTTAAACATCTTCAAACATCATATCACAATCATTATCAAATATCATAAAATGATTACTTACTTTTATCAATGTAATGTGTAGCTATTGAAACCATCAGACTCATTTGAAATGACTTATGCATGTCATTCAGAGGGAACATCAGAACATTATCAAATAACCACACAGGTAACATCATTTCATTGACCACACCACACCTCACCACACAGCAAACACCACTTCTGTGACCACACCACACCACCACACCCCACAGCTAACATCACTTCAGTCACCACACCACACCACCACACCCCACACCTAGCATCACTTCAGTCACCACACCACACCACCACACCCCACACCTAGCACCACTTCAGTCACCACACCACACCACCACACCTAGCATCACTTTAGTCACCACACCACACCACCACACCTAGCATCACTTCAGTCACCACACCACACCACCACACCTAGCATCACTTCATTCACCACACCACACCACAGCTAACATCACTTCAGTCACCACACCACACCACCACACCTAGCATCACTTCAGTCACCACACCACACCACCACACCTAGCATCACTTCAGTCACCACACCACACCACCACACCTAGCATCACTTCAGTCACCACACCACACCACCACACCTAGCATCACTTCAGTCACCACACCACACCACCCCACAGCTAGCATCACTTCAGTCACCACACCACACCACCACACCACCACACCTAGCATCACTTCAGTCACCACACCACACCACACCACCCCACAGCTAACATCACTTCAGTCACCACACCACACCACCACACCACCACACCTAGCATCAATTCAGTCACCACACCACACCACCCCACAGCTAACATCACTTCAGTCACCACACCACACCACACCACCCCACAGCTAGCATCACTTCAGTCACACCACCACACCACCACACCTAGCATCACTTCAGTCACCACACCACACCACCCCACAGCTAACATCACTTCAGTCACCACACCACACCACCCCACAGCTAGCATCACTTCAGTCACCACACCACACCACCACACCTAGCATCACTTCAGTCACCACACCACACCACCACACCCCACACCTAGCATCACTTCAGTCACCACACCACACCACCACACCCCACACCTAACATCACTTCAGTCACCACACCACACCACCACACCACCACAGCTAACACGACTACAGTGACCATACCATACATCAATCTTCAGCACAGAATGATTTTTTTTAATATCACACAGCAAGTAACAATCTGTTAGAAACAGATAGCAGCTTGACTCAAATTTTGTTTTGGGGTAAACTTCTCCGTTAGGTTACACAGGAATGGATGAAAAAACTTACGCTGACGCTAATCCTTGCATAACACGAGAACAACAAAAACATTAACCCTAACTCTTGCCTGACAGCACAACATAAGACAACAACAGACAACAATGTTGGCGTCAGCTTGGAGATTGGTTAGTTTCAAGTTTTAAAATTCGCGAAAAATATAATACAGTACAAAAAGTAACAGCAAAAAAAAAAAAATTTAAAATTTAAAACATTAATTTTTGTCAAAATAATGTTTGATATTATATTAATGCGTTTACTTTGTGTTAAAAATGTGACATTCACACCTTTTATACCATGCGTATAGGAATAACATCAACAAAGTATTTAAACAACAGTTTTTACAATATGTCAGTAAACCAATATGCTTTCGTTTATGAAAAAATGACCTTGAAATGGAATGGTAATGAACGTGTGTGTTCCATAACATGTGAGCAAAATTCTAAAATTAACGCGCTTCATGTGAGTAGATCTGTAGGTGAGATGACCCATAAAATCACGTGACACTAAATACATGACCAGAATGTGAGCAAAAGTTACTTCACACAGTACGTGCTTCACACAGTAGTACGTGCTTCACATCGCTACGTCCGAAAATAGTTACTGCACACTGTAGAACGTGCTTCATATTGTTACGTCCAACGTATGACCCATGTATTTATATGTCGTGTGTTGTTGAACGCCATATAATAGCCATCCGTTATATAAAAGCCATCCGTTATATAAAAGCCATCCGTTATATAAAAGCCATCCGTTATATAAAAGCCATCCGTTATATAATAGCCATCCGTTATATAATAGCCATCCGTTATATAAAAGCCATCAGTATCAGGCTGAATTTAAGTTTCATTTTCTAAGAAAGCGTTGTGGATATTTATTGGCTTCGTTAGGGAAAGATAATCAAGTCTAACCTATGTTTTAAATTTTTCTTAACTTGTCGCCCTTGCATTAAGTACTCATGTCGTCATCTTTTATTATTTCAAAAAAAAAAAAAATTAAAATTTGATTAATAATTTGAGTATAATTTTGAATTTATATATTAGTTCTAAGAAATATGTAACACATAAAAGAACGACATTTATAAAAGTAAACTTTGATGTTGGTGTAAACTGATTTTAACGACAATTATAAAACTGGTGTTTGGAAGTGATGGAACCGATGGTTGCTCACAGATTTCACTGCACCAAGAGAAATAAGTTCAGTTAGTTCTAGGTTTTGATTAAACAGTATATCACCTAGTGACCCCAAATAGCCTGATAGTTCAATAATTAACAATCGAACATCGACATGTCTGTGTCATTGCCACAAATTAAATGACAAATGTAAAATAAAAGTTAACAGACGCGGATGGTGTGTCCATTACTGTCAGAGCATTTGTACAGGGCATATATACAGATCATATGTACATGATGTATGTACACAACATGCCAGGACATATAACTAGAAGTATGTACACTACCTTAGTACACTGGTGATGTACATGACTTTGGTACACACCAAACTGTACACATCACAGTGTGGTTATGTAGTCATCACTGCACAACTTTTGACGTCATCTTTAGAATATTTGTGACGTCAACCAAATCATATTTATTTTTTCACGTCACATTTTAAAATACATTGTTGGTAGTTTGTTTGTACTGTACACTTTATCACATCTTTTTTATCACGACCATTTTATGATGTCTACATCACCACGACCACTTTATGATGTCCACATCATCATGATCACTTTATGATGTCCACATCATCACGACCACTTTATGATGTCCACATCACGACCACTTTATGATGTCAACATCACCACGACCACTTTATGATGTCCACATCACGACCACTTTATAATGTCCACATCACGACCACTTTATGATGTCCACATCACGACGACCACTTTATGTCAACATCACCACGACCACTTTATGATGTCCACATCATCATGATCACTTTATGATGTCAACATCACCACGACCACTTTATGATGTCCACATCACGACCACTTTATAATGTCCACATCACGACCACTTTATAATGTCCACATCACCACTACCACTTTAGGATGTCCACATCACGATCACTTTATGATGTCCACATCACGACCACTTTATAATGTCCACATCACCACTACCACTTTAGGATGTCCACATCACGATCACTTTATGATGTCCACATCACGACCACTTTATAATGTCCACATCACCACTACCACTTTATGATGTCCACATCACGACCACTTTATGATGTCCACATCACGACCACTTTATGATGTCCACATCACGACGACCACTTTATGTCCACATCATCACGATTATTTTAAAATGCCCACACCATCACGACCACTTTATGATGTCCACATCTTCAGCTTAGATGTATTAGTTTGTTCAAAACGAAATAACCCATTCTTTGTTAAGAATCCTACATCATACCTGGGTATTATACGACATGCTGTCCGTCATAGACAGTTGTCCTACATCATATTGTCCATCATACATAGCTGTTCAAACATGTTGTCTACCATGTCCAGCTGTCTTATAGCATACTGTCAGTCATAGACAGCTGTCCTACAGCATGTCGTCTGTCATAGACAGCTGTCCTACAGCATGTTGTCCACCATGTCCAGCTGTCCTACAGCATGTTGTCTGTCATAGACAGCTGTCCTACAGCATGTTGTCCATCATAGACAGCTGTCCTACAGCATGTTGTCCATCATGGAAGCGCTGGCTTCAGTCTCAGCCTCGCACGTACGAGACAGCTTGGACTGGCCGCTCCCCCCAGAGATCCGCTTAAGCCCGGGGGTGGCCTTGCCGTTGGTCGCCGCCATAGCGTAGCAGCTTGAGCGACGGGGACTCCCGAAGAATGAGGACTTGGTGTAGCGGCTTAGTGTCCTGCTGTCCTGTAGGGCGCTGATCTTCTGCCGCAGTAGGACTCGTACCTGGGGGGTAGACATGAGACGGTTACCTCCAGGTGCGCACCCCATACACATATAAAGCTGGACTAAGTTAAGCCCCTCCTCCCTTAAATTATGTTGTACGTTATATAATAAACTCTGATACAGCCCCTGCAATTTATCTTTAAAACCTCTTGCTAAATGCACGGAACATTACCATAATGGATACAAACTAATACCCACATGTAACATGCACCCCCTCCCGATCTGAACATGTAGTCTAACACCCCATACATCATAACACTTCATAAACCCTGATACTATGCACCATGCACCCTAACATCTCATAAAACATACACTTTGCCCCCCCCCCATCCAGACACCACATGCATCAAACGGCCCCCACCCCCACCTGCAAATTGCAATCTCACACTCTAACACCCCATACAGTATACTCCCTGACACACCATATAGTATAGTATAGTATACAGATACTCCATACAAAATACACCCTGATGCCCCATACAACATGCCCCCTGATGCCCCATACAACATGCCCCCTGACGCCCCAAACAACATGCCCCCTGACGCCCCAAACAACATGCCCCCTGACGCCCCATACAACATGCCCCCTGACGCCCCATACAACATGCCCCCTGACGCCCCATACAACATGCCCCCTGACGCCCCATACAACATGCCCCCTGACGCCCCATACAACATACACCCCGACGCCCCAAACAACATGCCCCCTGACGCCCCATACAACATGCCCCTTGACGCCCCATACAACATGCCCCCTGACGCCCCATACAACATGCCCCCTGACGCCCCAAACAACATGCCCCCTGACGCCCCATACAACATGCCCCCTGACGCCCCATACAACATGCCCCCTGACGCCCCATACAACATACACCCCGACGCCCCAAACAACATGCCCCCTGACGCCCCATACAACATGCCCCTTGACGCCCCATACAACATGCCCCCTGACGCCCCATACAACATGCCCCCTGACGCCCCATACAACATGCCCCTTGACGCCCCATACAACATGCCCCCTGACGCCCCATACAACATGCCCCCTGACGCCCCATACAACATACACCCCGACGCCCCAAACAACATGCCCCCTGACGCCCCATACAACATGCCCCCTGACGCCCCATACAACATGCCCCCTGACGCCCCATACAACATGCCCCCTGACGCCCCATACAACATGCCCCCTGACGCCCCTGACGCCCCAAACACCCTGAAATACGTCACACCAGAGGTTCGAACTTACCCCTTATAGCACAGATGATGCAATGACTTACCTCGCCGTTAAGGAAGCAGTAAAATATGGTGACGAAGAATCCCTGGGGAGAAAAAAGTTACAAATAACACGCGGACATTCAACTCAGTTTGTCTACTTCATGTGAATTAGGGGCAGCAAGATCAAATGTGCAAGGAGTGAAACAAACGCATACAAAGTCAAACAGCCCTGTCGACTTACCTGCAGGGACTGTAAAACAGCATTGATGTACTTGAAGATGATGACGAGAATCTCATTCTGTACAGGCGGTTCAAGGAACAGGACGTAGCCTAGCCCGAGGAGGGGCAACAGGACAACGATGGCTTTCAGAGCTTTCCTGTTGAAGTAAACACACGACTTTAAACACACGACAAAATCAGTCTTAAACACGATAAAATCAGTCTTTAAACACACGACAAAATCACTTTAAACACACGCAAAATCAGTCTTTAAACAAATGACTAAGCTTGTCGTTCAGCCTATGGTCACTGTGCTAAGGACGTCAGCCTATGGTCACTGTGCTAGGGACGTCAGTCGTCCAGTCTATGGTCACTGTGCTAAGGACGTCAGCCTATGGTCACTGTGCTAGGGACGTCAGTCGTCCAGTCTATGGTCACTGTGCTAAGGACGTCAGTTGTCCAGTCTATGGTCACTGTGCTAAGGACGTCAGTCTATGGTCACTGCGCTAAGGACGTCAGTCTATGGTCACTGTGCTAAGGACGTCAGTTGTCCAGTCTATGGTCACTGTGCTAAGGACGTCAGTCTATGGTCACTGCGCTAAGGACGTCAGTCTATGGTCACTGTGCTAAGGACGTCCAGTCTATGGTCACTGTGCTAAGGACGTCAGTCTATGGTCAATGCGCTAAGGACGTCAGTCGTCCAGCCTATGGTCACTGTGCTAAGGACGTCAGTCTATGGTCACTGTGCTAAGGACGTCAGTCGTCCAGCCTATGGTCACTGTGCTAAGGACGTCAGTCTATGATCACTGTGCTAAAGACGTCAGTCGTCCAGTCTATGGTCACTGTGCTAAAGACGTCAATCGTCTAGTCTATGGTCACTAAGGTGTTGGTGGTGTGGTCCCCACTGCTGACGTCACTCGTCTGACCTGGATTGCCGGGTCTCCAGTGTGTTTGACGCCCTCAGCTTGGTGACGAGGATCCAGATGATGGTGACGATGAAAAACACGTTGCTCTGAGGAGGAGACGTCAACACAGGTGTCAGCTCTAATCATTAGAGGGGCGTGGTGTAGAGGCGTGGTGTAGAGGCGTGGTGTAGAGGCGTGGTGTAGAGGCGTGGGCATTAGAGGGGCGTGGTGTAGGGGCGTGGGCATTAGAGGGGCGTGGTGTAGAGGCGTGGGCAGAGGCGTGGGCATTAGGGGGCGTGGTGTAAAGGCGTGGACATTAGAGGGGCGTGGTGTAAAGGCGTGGACATTAGACGGGCGTGGTGTAGAGGCGTGGGCAGAGGCGTGGGCAGGGGAGTGGTGTAGAGGCGTGGGCAGAGGCATGGGCAGGGGAGTGGTGTAGAGGCGTGGACATTAGAGGGGCGTGGTGTAGAGGCGTCGGAATTAGAGGGGCGTGGTGTAGAGGCGTGGGCAGAGGCGTGGGCATTAGAGGGGCGTGGTGTAAAGGCGTGGACATTAGACGGGCGTGGTGTAGCGTGGTGTAGAGGCGTGGGCATAAGAGAGGCGTGGGCATTAGAGGGGCGTGGGCATTAGAGGGGCGTGGTGTAAAGGCGTGGACATTAGAGGGGCGTGGTGTAAAGGCGTGGGCATTAGAGAGGCGTGGTGTAGAGGCGTGGACATTAGAGGGGCGTGGTGTAAAGGCGTGGGCATTAGAGGGGCGTGGTGTAAAGGCGTGGACATTAGAGGGGCGTGGTGTAAAGGCGTGGGCATTAGAGAGGCGTGGGGTAGCGTGGTGTAAAGGCGTGGACATTAGAGGGGCGTGGTGTAGCGTGTGGTGTAGAGGCGTGGGCATTAGAGGGGCGTGGGCATTAGAGGGGCGTGGGCATTAGAGGGGCGTGGGCATTAGAGGGGCGTGGCTATTAGAGGGTCGTGGTGTAAAGGCGTGGACATCAGAGGGGCGTGGTGTAGAGGAGTGGGCATTGGTGGGGTGTTGTGTAGAGGCATTGGGCAATAGATTGTAGTGGCGTGGTGGATTTGCGTGTTGTAGAGGAATGGAGATGAGATTTGATAACTTTTAAGTGAGCTGCACAAGTTTAAATCTGCTTAAAACAACACAAAGATGTGCATTAATTACTAGACATAAAACCTGTTGCGGGAGAAATACAACGGGCGTTAGGATCATGGTGGTTTTTTTTTTCTCAACCAAAACCTCCACCTCAACCTAAACCTAAACATAAGCATTCGAACCTGTTACGAAAATTTATCTGGAACCAAAATTGAACGGTAAATCTTGTGGAAACAAAACTTTATCTAGGACCGGAATGTAAACCGGAATTTCGCAGAAAACGGAAATTTTAGAAAAAAACTACTACTTTAAGATGAACTGGAAATTCAATCAGAAACTGAAACTTCACTGGGACCTAACCTTTAACTGGAACTTACTGGAAAATGGAAAATGAACTTGAACCAGAACCGGTATTTTAGTTGGAATTAGAACTTTATAAAACATTAATTTATACCGACCTAAATCTAAACCTATATCTCGGAACCTGAATTTGAAGTTTAATCGCAACCGAAATTTATCAGGAAACAAAACTTTATCCAAAACTTGAATCTTTACAGGATCGGAAATTTAACCGATACTAATTTAACCGTAAACGGAAATTAATCCGGAAATACAATTATACCTGAAATTTTACTATTCGTTTCATGTGACGTCATTGTCTTTGCCTGTGAAAGTTTTCATTTCCTTTTTTTTAACCCAAGAACACAGACAGACAGACAGACACATACATAGACAGGCAGAGTAGTGAAATTATTATACAAAAGATGTATACAAGACCTTATGCAACATATTGCCTACTCACGCACCTTTTCCCACTCATAGAAACACTTGATATTTATCGCAGATACGTACCAGTAAAACGATAAGGATGGGCATGTAGATGATGTAGTAGATACGTACCAGTAAAACGATAAGGATGGGCATGTAGATGATGTAGTAGATACGTACCAGTAAAACGATTAGGATTGGCATGTAGATGATGTAGTAGATACGTACCAGTAAAACGATAAGGATGGGCATGTAGATGATGTAGTAGATACGTACCAGTAAAACGATTAGGATTGGCATGTAGATGATGTAGTAGATACGTACCAGTAAAACGATTAGGATTGGCATGTAGATGATGTAGTAGATACGTACCAGTAAAACGATTAGGATTGGCATGTAGATGATGTAGTAGATACGTACCAGTAAAACGATTAGGATGGGCATGTACATGATGTAGTCGAGGTGGGGGTAGTTGGGATGGGGCAGAAAACACCTGGGAAAATGTGAAAACAATTCATTAGAGACATTGATTTAAATTACGGTCGTTGACTGGGGTCACACTAGTAACGTTAATTGTGTGAGGACCGTCAGTACATGAGGATGGTATATGGTCAGGGTTTAGTAAACTTATGAGGATGGTATATGGTCAGGGTTTAGTAAACTTATGAGGATGGTATATGGTCAGGGTTTAGTAAACTTATGAGGATGGTATATGGTCAGGGTTTAGTAAACTTATGAGGATGGTATATGGTCAGGGTTTAGTAAACTTATGAGGATGGTATATGGTCAGGGTTTAGTAAACTTATGAGGATGGTATATGGTCAGGGTTTAGTAAACTTATGAGGATGGTATATGGTCAGGGTTTAGTAAACTTATGAGGATGGTATATGGTCAGGGTTTAGTAAACTTATGAGGATGGTATATGGTCAGGGTTTAGTAAACTTATGAGGATGGTATATGGTCAGGGTTTAGTAAACTTATGAGGATGGTATATGGTCAGGGTTTAGTAAACTTATGAGGATGGTATATGGTCAGGGTTTAGTAAACTTATGAGGATGGTATATGGTCAGGGTTTAGTAAACTTATGAGGATGGTATATGGTCAGGGTTTAGTAAACTTATGAGGATGGTATATGGTCAGGGTTTAGTAAACTTATGAGGATGGTATATGGTCAGGGTTTAGTAAACTTATAATCTTGATAGTAGAAGGGATTAAAAGGTTCAGAGAAAAGTCATAGAAAATTTATATACATATATATATATATATATATATATATATATATATATATATATATATATATATATATATATATGTATGTATATATTAAACGTTTTCTCGCCATCAAAATGAGGATACACATAGAGTCTAGGACAGAAAGTCTTACAGGACATGAGGACACATATAGAGCTAGGAGGGACAGGCTCAGAGGACATGAGGACACACATTAAGTCTAGAAGAAAGGACTTACAGGACGTGAGGAGACACATAGAGTCTAGGACAGAAGGACACAGGACATGAGGACACACATAGAGGACAGACTGACTTACAGGACTTGCTCGTAGTGAAGCTTTAAGACGGTCCAAACAACCATGATAATCAGCGGAACACCTGAAGAAGTAAAAAAAAATGTCTCAAAATGTCCAGAGAAATAAACTTTTTATCATCAGGTTAACAAGCTAATATCATAAATAATCGAGTGTGTGTGGTGTATGTGGTGTGTGGGTGATGTGTTTGTGTGTTGTGTGTTGTGTGTGTGGTGTGTGTTTTGTGTGTGAGTTGTGTGTGTGGGGTGTGTGGCGTGTGTGTGGTGTGATGTGTGTGTATGTGTGTGTGTATGTGTGTGGTGTGTGTGTGGTGTGTTTGTGACGTGTGTGTGTGATGTGTGTGGTGTGTGTGATGTGTGTGTATGTGTGGTGTGTGTGTGGTGGGTGTGAGGTGTGTGTGTGTGGTGTGACCAACTTACCCCAGCCAATGAGAAATAATCTCCAACTTACGCCAACCAATCAGAAACAAGAAACAATGACGAACTTATCCCAGCCAATCAGAAACTATGACGAACTTACCCCAGCCAATCAGAAACAATGACGAACTTACCCCAGCCAATGAGAAGATAGTGCCAGAGCCTGAGCTTCTGTGCCGAGAAAGCCCACAAGATGATGGTGAAGAGGTACAAGCCCTCCACGAACATCCAGAAGAAGAGGGACGTGTGGAAGTAGTGCATGACCACCACCAGGATGTTGCACATGATCTGTCAGGTGGGGAAAACATTTGGTCGGTTGTAAAAAAAGTGGTTTATTGTACGGTGAGAAACATTGAATGGTGTGAGCTAGTTAGAAATTTTTTGTACAGTGGGAAAAACATGTAGTAAATGTAAACTAGCAGGTAATATTTGTAAGGTGGGAAAACATTCTTCTTCTTCGTTCTTAATGTTTAGTGTTAGAAGGGATCGAGCCTTATCTGCCAGAGGGTTTGAACTCGAGACTTTTTCAAATTTATCATTGACTCCGATTTTCTTTTCTTGGATTTGCTTCCTTAGCCTTTGTCCAACCAAGAACAAACTAGGCCTACAAGGCAGCAGTTGTTTGATTTTGGAGTTGTCTCTCCTATATGAGTGGCTGTCCCCAGCTAACGAGCCTCATCTGCCCGAGGGTTCGATCTCGAGACTTTTCGGTTTAGCAACCATGAGCTTTACCGACTAGACCACGCCGACCCAGGAAAAACCTCGTAGACTTACGTTCTCTCTGATCTTGTGGATGGAGAGTCTCAGGATAAACCACTAGACTTACGTTCTCTCTGATCTTGTGGATGGAGAGTCTCAGGATAAACCACTTGACGTTGGAGAAGAGGAGAGCAGCGAAGAGATTACAGTGGATAGAGTTCCTCAGGCACCGCAGACTTCTGGTAGGGTTAAAACAAACACGTGACATTGGTTACCGCCATACCTAACCACACTTTATCACACACCACACCATTATAGCGTTAGTACAAAGTAAATTTCAGCACACTGGTGTATTATACGGTTACTTGACAAGTGGCAGGTTACTTTACAGGTAGTGATTTACTTGACCGGTGCTAACTTACCTTACCAAAGCTAACTAATTTGACAGGTGCAATCTTGCTTAACAAGTACTTACTAACATGTGCTAACTTACTTACAGGTGCTTACTTACACTTACCTGACAGGTGGTAACTTACCTGACAGTTAATGACTTACAGATGCTAGCTAACTTGACAGGTGCTAAGTTACCTGACAGGTGGTAACTTACCTGAAAGGTGGTAACTTACCCGACAGTTAGTGACTTACAGATGCTAGCTTACTTGACAGGTGCTAAGTTACTTGACATGTGGTGACTTACTTGACAGGTGCTAAGTTACCTGACAGGTGCTAACTTACCTGACAGTTAGTGACTTACTTGAAGTAAAAGAAGATGATGAGAGCAGCGACCAGTGAGATGGTGGTGATGCTGTAGCCGATATCGTAGATCAACAAGACGCCAGTGGGCTCCTGGGCCTGTAAATATATAAGTGCTGTTGTCATGCTGTTGAGTGCTGTTGTCAGGCTGTTGAGTGCTGTCGTCAGGCTGTATAGTGCTGTCATGAGGCTGTTTAGTGCTGTCATCAAGCTGTTTAGTGCTGTCATCAAGCTGTTTAGTGCTGTCATCAAGCTGTTTAGTGCTGTCATTAATCTGTTTAGTGCTGTCATCAGGCTGTTTAGTGCTGTCATCAGGCTGTTTAGTGTCGTCATTTTCAAATTGTTCCATAGGATCTTACCTCACCTAGCCCCATGAACTAGTCAACATCTCACACCACGTATCCCATCTCATCTATCCTCATAAACACCTTAGACCACGTGACTCACCTCCATCAACAAACGCTGGTCTTTTCCCCCCATACATTTCGTGTAGTTGCTTTTGTCCCACGTACCGTTCTCTAGACATACCCTGGTCGCGTTGTCTGAGGAAACAAAAGCAATTCTAACGTTGATTCAAACACACACACACACACACACACACACACATACAAACACACATACAAACACACATACATGCACGACGAGGACACACACACTCATGCAAATAAAAGCACGCTCGTATAAATTTTATATATATATATATATATATATATATATATATATATATATATATATATATATATATATATATATATATATATATATATATATCAGGATGGACTAACTCACTGGAGGCGTCTGACAGGCCACTCTCAAAGCACGGCTGCACCGCCATATCCCCCGCCCTTGTGGTGGACCAACAGGAGAAAAGGTCCCAGGTCGCATTGCAGTAGGTCACGTCTGGTTCTGAAAGCAAATCAAGGAGAAATTGTTCATGACCTTCGGGGTCGCAGAATTCGTCCTTGGCCCAGTTCTGATGGGTTTTGGCCCAATTCTGACCACTCTTATACTGCTCCTTCATTCTGAAGAATTGTACGTATTTCGTATAGCCTTCAAGTATTTATCAAACCACAAAGTATAACTTCTTGATAAAAGTTCCAACACACGAGTTCCATACCAATCACGACCAGTCTCTACACAAGTGCATGTCTGTTAGAGCACGTAAAGAAAGTTGTAGAGTTTTATCTTAAAACTGATTTCACACACGATATTTTTTCTTGAATTTGTTATTGAATTCAGCGCTGGGAGCACATTTATACCACTCTACTGATTCTGAACAACGCTTCCCCCGTGGGCTCGTTAAAAAAATAATTGAAACATAATTTTATTTCACATTCCGTCTGCAGAAATTTAGGAAATGGGTTTTAATTAAATTCATTTTTTATTAAGTCTAAAAACATAATCTTATTTATCAAAATCTTTAGTGACGTCATATTTCTTCACTGAGTGCCTTGAAAAATGTACAACTGTGGGAACACAGACCTTATAGATAGGGTGACACAATCAGTAAACATTTGTGAACCAGACAGGAAGACACAATAAGTAAACATTTGTTAGCCAAGACCTTCTGTATAGTAAGACACAATCAGTAAACATTTGTCAACCAGATTTCAATACATAAACAAAAAACTAATGATCAAGAAGCGTGACAGTTTAGACAAGCACCAAGACATGTGTCTAATACTACAGCAGTTATTTACTAAATTGTTACAGATACAACCTTTGACTTCAATGCTAACCAGCAAGAAAACTGCCTACGACCTCTGGCAAAATATTACATGCACGTGAGAGAAGGTGAAGGTCATTCTGATCTATGTGTCACATACATCTATACCCTAATGACATGCAAACAAAATGTCAGTCCTACACCACTAAGAATGTCACTGTCACCCTATGTAGTGCTTTTGAAAAACCGAAAGTAGATTAACTACCACTTCCGGTTACCGAAAATCACTGAAAAGTTGCTAAAGAACTACAGATTTGCTATAATACTAATATATGAAATTTCATCAACCTAGCTGTAACGGTAAAGTTATCGTGTTCACAAACACACACACACACAGACATACGGACAAACTAATTTTTCCCGACTCAAGGACGTGTAAAACGTCGAGAATTGTGAACATCTCAATTTCGATTTTCGCACCATTACAATACTTCCTCTATACTTCGTATCCGAAAAATTAAAAACTGCAGAATTTAGAGTTTAAAGTAGTGGTAAGTTTATTTCACACTTCAGCGGGACATAACTACAAGACAAATGGTTTTGTAAAAATCAATCCGCCGACTGACGACGAAATAAATAGTTCACGTTAGAACAGATCGTCGAAAAAAGGTGGATCCCCCATCCATAAAACCTCACCCCACCCCTTGCATTGCTCAACCCCGTTAAAAAACCTTCTAGAACCGGAAGTGATGCGGTTCTTGTAGACCCATGACCGGAAGTTGGCCCCAGCAGAAGACAGAGCAGAAGGTCACTGGGACTGAGGTCAGAGAAGGTCACTGGGACTGAGGTCAGAGAAGGTCACAGGGACTGAGGTCAGTGTGTCTTCAAAGACACATACACATTCATTTAATCCTCTTCGAACAAACAATCCTATCCAACCCCTCCCCTCCTCCGGAACAAATATTCTTAATCCTATTACTGGCTAAAGCCATCTTGTAGCCTGTAGCCTTCTGTCGAATGTTTTTAGAAATTTTCCAGACAAAAAATTGATATCCTACTAGAATTTCGTTTTAATAAAAATATAGCCAACGAAACAATGTTAAATAAACACGAAATATTCTGTAATACATAAATATAGTGCAATTATTCCTGATTAATTTCCAGCTATTTAATGCAACCAACTGCAGATATATGCCTACTATAGCAGCAACAACTACAGTACTGAGTACCATGTGAATTTAATACAATATTAATTATGCCTTTAGCAACGTCAATAAGTACCATGTAATACAATCAAATGGGAAATTAATACCATACAATACAAACAAGTACAGCACTGAGTACTATATAATGTCTTAATAGCTGCACTGAGTAATTTACATATGTCTTTAATGATGGTACTGAGTACTATATAATGTTTTAACGGCGGCACTAAGTAATTTGCATGTGTCTTTAAAATGGTACTGAGTACCAACTCCGGCTATCTAAGTAGACGAGCGGCGTACATTTTTACTTTCTCGTATATACGAAGTATAGAGAAAGTCTTGTAATCGTGCAAAAAAAAAAAATCGAGATTTTTGCAAATCTCGACGTTTTGCATCTCACTGATACGGAAAAACATAATTTTGCAATCTTGTCCGTATGTCTGTGTGTCTGTGTGTGTGTCTGTGTGTGTGTGTGTCCGTGTGTAAACACGATAACTTGAGTACCGTTACAGCTAGGTTGATGAAATTTCATATATAAGTATTTTATCAAAATCGTAGATCCGTATCAACTTTTGAGCGATTTCCGATAACCGGAAGTGGTACTTTTCCTACTTTGAATTTTTCAAAAGCCTATAACTTGAGTACTATTTCAGATAGATAAATGAAATTTCATACGTAAGTAAAAGATCTAATTCTCTACCTTCTATTAAATTTTGAGTCATTTCCGTTGACTGGAAGTAGTACTTTACGCTACTTCCGATTTCTCAAAAAACTAATGTAAATTTTAAAAGTAATAATAATATTGCGCACTATTATGCGCTTTTTTATTTCGCGTTCACTTGGTGTGCAATTAATTTGTCTACGAGATTTTATTCTATTTTTAAAACTTTAAGTATTTAAAATGGATTAAAAATCATGTCTATAGCCCGAGTTCCCATCCCCTGTTATTTTATATAAGAATATTCGAGAAAGTTTAGGGGAGATCACTCCCGGTTTATTTTTCTTAAGGCTTGTATTACAACCATCGCATTAAGGCCGGCTGCCGGCTTATTGGCCGGTCAGAGCTTATCTTCCGGTCACACGGCCAGGTCATTCTAACCGTGACACCAATGACGTCATGATGCGGATAGACACCGCCCATACAAAATATGATCACCATAAGATCACCAATAAACTCGGACAGTTCAGATTATTGATTACAGATTCCCGTGCAGACGATAGGGGTACATCTAAACGTCGCCATCTTTAAAGAAACAGATACTGACAAAACTAAGCCTATGAAGATGGACTTCATCAACCGCACAAAACTGGCTTTTTAAATTCAAGCAAGATAATGGCTGGAGTTATTCAAACTAAAATGGCTTTTATCAGATCGTGCTGACTCACTTAAGCACCACGGAAAAGCTGGTTGTATTAACCCCTTTCAACCTTCTAATTGCTGCATAGACATTTATATACATAGCATTTCTCTCGGTTTCTTATTCTGGTAGAGATATTTGTATAAATAGTCTTACCCAGGGGCGTCGCGAGGCGGGGGTGGGGGGGGGGGGGCTGTGAGGACCGCACCGGATGACACGCTTTAAGGGAGTGACGCCAAGGCAAAAATTGAAAACTTATTTAGAAGAAGATGGATGATATCAACTGCAAATTTTACAGAGTGAAAAAGGTTTTATCGAGTATTTTCAACAACCGATAAGTCAATTAACGATTATATATATATATATATATATATATATATATATATATATATATATATATATATATATATACATATATATATATATATATATATATATATATATATATATATATATATATATATATATATATATATATATATACATATATATATATATATACATATATATATATATATATATATATATATATATATATATATATATATATATATATATATATATATATATATATATATATATATATGCATATATATATATATATATATCAAATAGTTTTTCTCTGGGGAGTGACACCAAGAGGTGCCGCACCGGGTGACACACGTATAATAAACCACCATTATGTATTAGCCCCTGTGCATGAATATAAATACCTGCCCACCTTCCCATAAACAGTTAATAAATCACTATAAAATTCCAATGGTATCTGCTCATTGATTGAATACAAATCAAATACCAAGCTCACATATCTTTGTGGCAACACTTTAGTACTTTATAAAGCAATTTTAAATAAGTGTTTAAAAATTAATGGAGCTACTAATTATAACAAAGACGATGTCACATTGCATTGTCATCGAAACTGGACCAAAGTGTCAAGTTTAAATAAACTGGTTTGGTTTGTTTGCAGGTTTCTAACCGATGAAGACGACAGAAAAGTAAAGCTAGAATGTTTGGTTTAAGAAAAATAAAAAACAATAATAATATAAAGCTTCTATATAGGCCTACACTAAAATGAAGTAAATACATTTCTTTAAAGATATAATAACGCACCATTATTTATAAAAGGAAAAGCGTTGGTCGATATCACAATTTTAGTGTGGGTATTCAATTATAACGTAGCGATTCGTGTTTTTTTTTTTCAGTTTGTTTATTTAAACATTGGTACATTAATACATCTTTAAAAGCATATTTTATTTTATTATTTTTTATACATAAATAAAAGTTTGAAATTTTAGAAGGTGGATTAATTGAATTATTTCTAGATTTAATACAATCTAATCGCATAAATAAAAACAATTGCGCGAAAAGATTAGTACTTTAAATAGCAATCTTTAATTTATTAAAAGATAATTTGATATATAATCATGCCAACTAAATGTCATATTGCATTTTCATCAGAAACAAATTGGTTCGATAGAAGTTAGTGAAATTTTGTTTGCAAATTACAACCTATCATATACGAAGACAAAAGCAGTTAAAAGAGTTTTGAACAGAGTAAAAATAGAGATGGTTGATATTTATATAAACGAATCTTTGAGGAAAAATTGTCTGTCATTGTTAGTCTTTTGTTAAACATGACCTAGAAAGAGTACCAGATGTCATATTCTACTTGTGTCA